CCCCAAAACCCCAAAACCCCAAAACCCCATTCTCAACAATTAGTAGTTAAATCTGCTTATGGAATCAAGGTTTGTGAAGGCTAATATTAATAAGTGGGAGTTTGATAGATCTCTATAATACTATTTAATACCCATTAAAGCATTAAATGATTACGTAAACACAATAAGAATTACTCAACGAGCTTACTAAATCAGAGGAAATTATGCAGAATTCTCTCATCTACGAGTCTACAGCTTCATAGAGAAGATTCAGATCATCTATGGATGATGTGCCTATCGTAGACGTTGAGAAGTATTTAAACAAACAGCCAGGCTGGGAAGTAGAGTGCGAAAAAGTTGCTGATAGTCTGCATAAGTATGGCATCTTGATCTTCAAAGACCCAAGAGCACATGAACAAGAAAATGAAGACTATATTGAGTTAATGGAAAAATATTTCGAAAAGACATCGAAGATCTACTACGATGGACAAAAATTATCTGATGCAAAGCCTGAATATGCTTACCAGACAGGTGTGACCCCAGAGTAAATCGAAAAAGCAAGAAATCATTATGAAAAGGTCAAGCATTTGCCAGCTGAGGATCAGCCAAGATCAAAGTTTCCACCTACTTACGATATGAAGTGGAGATATATGTGGAAAATCGGTGAGAGACCACCAGGTGCATTTGATGAGTGCCCACAAGTAGTCCCGGAGGGATTCCCTGATTGGGAGGATAAAATGACAACCTGGGGAGAAAAACTTCTTAATGCTACCTTCACTGCTGCAGAGATGGCTGCCTAGGGAATGAAACTAGATGTAGATACTTTTTCAAGCAGAATGAAAGGAGGAGCTCATTTGCTCGCTCCCACTGGATCAGACCTTAAGCGTTATGACATCGGAACTACTCTAGCTGGATTCCACTACGATATTGCTCTCTTAACTTGCCATGGCAAATCCAGATACCCAGGCTTATATATTTGGCTGAGAGATTGGACCAAAGTTGCAGTAAAAATTCCAAAGGGTTGCCTCTTGATTCAAGCTGGCTCTACCTTTGAGCACATCACTGGTGGCTACGTCCTTGCTGGCTACCATGAGGTTATCTATAGTGAGGAGACTAAGGCAGCTGCCTTGAAGACCTAATAAGAAATCGATTCAGGCAAGGATAAAATCCTCTGGAGAGTATCATCTACATTATTTAGTCACATGAGATTTGACACAGACATCTCTCCGATGGCTGAGCTGTCTCACTTGTACGACATTGAACAGGCAAAAAAATACAGGAAAATAACTGCCTATGAGAAGTTAATGGAGGAACTTTCAGCCACTTCTATGATAGCCATGTGAAAGTCTTGAACGAAGAGTCAAATACAACACATAATAAGTCAAATCTATTATATTAACTAACCTTATTTAATTTATTGTTTTGAGTTATTTGTATATGTTTTAATTTTTACTAAAAAGACTTTCACCCTTACTCTCACAATTTTTTGCACTATGGGGTTTTGGGGTTTTGGGGTTTTGGGG